TATGGTGCTTTTTTTTGGCACCTTTTCAAAAGCCTCCAAAAGCCTCCTTAAGTCAATCAGACCAGTGTCTCCCACCTGTAAATTATGAAAAATATTAATTTTATTGTTGCACATTTATTAGCTCAAGTGGCTAGATGGTGATATTGTTTGTCTCCAAGAGGTGGATCCACCCTACTTTGCTGGGATCCTAAGTGAAGACATGTCATTACTGGGGTATGAAGGACTCTTTGTCAAGAAGTCTCAGCACACAGGTCGACAAGAGGGTGTGGCCTTGTTTTATAAACAGGATAAGTTTGATCTTGAAGAATCAAAGACACTTGTTATTGATGAAATTGCAACAGATATCCTGGCAGAGGCTGAGTCCAACAAATTTGGAGAAGTTTTGTTACTCGCAGCATTAAGACACAAGAATAGCGGTACTATGGTGCTTACAGGTACAGATTTACCCTGGTGAGGGTCGGCCATGGGGGTAGTGGTGTACCAATATACCTGAAAAGCAAAACCCATTATACTAAAAAATTCCCCCTCAAATTTATGCAAAATACCAAAATTTGGAAAAACAAGGTATACTTTATACCCATAAAAGCCCCAAGTTTTGGCGTCAAAATATCGTATACTTGATTTAAAATCCCCCTGTATATTGCATACCCAAAATCTTTGGCCAACCCTGCTATGTCATCAATCAGCAAATTCTCCTATTTATCAGTGTGGGAGGTGCAATGGCCTAATGTTATGTGCCCTGGACTCTGGATCAGCCAGTCCAAGTTTGATCCCTGCCCGTGGTCATTGTGTCATGTTGTTGGGCAAGACACTACTCTCAAAATGCCTCTCCTAACCTAAGTGTATAAACGGATACTTGTGAATTTAATGTTGGGTGTAACCTTGTAATTGACTGACATCACATCCAAAGGGGAGTAGAAATACCTCCAGTCACTTCATGGTACAAAAACCAGAAATAAGAACTGATCGTATGGGCCACAAGGCTTGAATAAAGGCTTTACCTTTAGCTGCCAGTAATCTCTGATTTCCTATATTAGTACTTAGAGGGGAATTAGGGAGCATTTCAATACATGATAGTACTAATTGACAAAAACGTTTTCAACGGCATAAAATTATTATTTTAATTTGTTGTTTCTCCTCAGCTACCACTCATATTTTGTGGAAGGATCTCTTAGAACCTGTCACACAAGTGTGTGAAATTGCATTTGTCACACAAGCTGTATGTGACATGTTGACATCACTGAGGTCTAGAGCCAAGCATGTGGCTTACATTCTCTGTGGAGACTTTAATATTGACCCTCATTACCCTGCTTATCATCTTCTGAAGGATGGACAACTCAGTGAGAAACAGTTCTCTATACTCCAGACTGTTGATTATTTGCGATTTCCTGCAGACATTGAAAAACCTCCCCAGGTACCATAAGAATATTATAGTGTATTGAGTATATTATATAAGTACAGTATATTACGAGCTTACAATGACACCAGCTACCAGTTGGCTTGATAGCTTAGTTGTTAGAG